TGTACATTAAAACAGCACAAGTTCACACTCCAAAGGCCGTAACAATTAGTAACATTTCTCATGATAACAAACACAACTTATGCTAAAACTATAAAAAAATAGTTTATCTTATACAAAGTTGTTTGGGCTCAGAATGGCAACAATCTGAGTAAGAGCCGCGGTGTAGAGTCCATCGGTGCAGCTACGTGTATTCCTGACGCCCCTTTTCACTTTAAGCTCACTAAGGAAATACTATTTTTTCTTTATTACCCCGCCAGGTTTATGTAGAATCTTGTGAACTTATCACTATCAAGCATATTTAAGTTGTTTGAGTTCCTAAGCAAAAAGGAGCTCTAAAAACATTAACGTCCATTAAGAGTCATTGACCAAATAATTAAATGTACATTTTAGTGCCATACATGTATTGTTTTTTCATTTCAGTGTTTTGCAAAGCTTAAAAATAATGTTTATTCTGCTTTTCTCAAGAAAATATTGCTTTCTTTTCTTTTTGGGGTTTTGCTACTGCAGGGTTTTGCTATGCAGTTCAGGTTGGCCTCGAACTCACAGCAATCCTCCTGCTTCAGCCTCCCAAGTGCTGGGATTACAGACGTACGCCACCACACATGGCCAAATATTACTTTCAAAATTTGTGGGGCTGGGGATTTAGCTCAGTGGCAAAAGCGCCTGCCTGGCAAGCGCAAGGTCGTGAGTTCGGTTCCCGGTACCAGAGAAAAACCAAAAAAACAACAAAAAAAAACCAAAAAAAAACCCAAAATTTGTAAATTTCACTGAACTAATCTCATTCATGGTGGAATTGGGCTTGTTCTATTCTAATGAAGCTATTTCAGTTTGAACATAAGTCATTTTTTTTTAAAGAGTAGAATATATTTATTGGGGGAAAGAAAGCTTCTGTCCGAGAAAGATAGAAGTGGCCGTGGTGGTTTTAAAAGTGAACACATTTAAGTTAGAAGAAATGGAGTATGGATATTCTTTTTCTTTTGTCTTTTAGACAGGGTCTCACTATGCAGTTCAGACTGGCCTTGAACTCACTTTGTATCCCAGGCTGGCCTCGAACTCTCAGCAATCTTCCTGCCTCAGCCTCCTGAGTGCTGGGATGGATATTCTTTCTACTGAAATATTTTCTAGTTTGTAGGAGGGAAGGCACAAAAATAACATGATTATGGAAATTTTAGAAGAGTATGCTAAAGAAGGACTTAATCACATACATATTTAAAAAAAATAAGTACAGAGAAAAATGAATAGATCATAGGAGGACTTCAATATAACAGCTGACAGAATTTCCTGACATAGGGCTGTGAGAAATTACAAAGTGGTGTTATGTGTTTTCCTCTGGTGATTAAAAATAACACAGGTAATTTTATGTTTAGATGTAATACTACCTAGAAAAACAAAACTGGTTTAGATAAAGTTGTGAGATTCCTACACTTCTTTCACTAATATGGAAAAAGTAAAGAGGAACTCTAGAGCACATCTATAGAAAACCCTCAGCCTGTTTAAATAATTTGGGTCTTTAAATAGTTTTGAATAGCTGAGATTTTTCGAGAGCTATAACTCAAATAGTCAAAATTTGTGATGAAAATATTATACAAAGAGATATTTAAATCCTGACCTTATTTCTCCTTCCTTTGGAGTTTATAAAGCTTTTTTACTACATATGATGAACTATTCAGATTCATTATAGAAATTAAAATGAAAGATATACCCATTATCTTATCAACCGGAAACAACCAGTTAACGTTCCCTCCAGTTTTACATGGAGTATACTGGATACTCTGAAGCAACGGCGTCCTCTGTGCAGACAACCATTTCAGTACTGGCCAGCACTTACTGAATACTCTTGGAGGTTAGTTCCATGCTGAACATTCTATGTACGCTGTTTCAGTTACACCTTGCAAGCCCATCGCTGGTGATCTTAAATTCCCTAAGTTCCTCTTTCAGAGATGAAGAAATGAAGGACTTGACAATGCATCAGGGACCTGTTAGAAGCTACACAGTCAAACCTTTCTCTTCAGTTCCCAAGACTGGCCTCTTAACTGCTTCACAAAATTACTATTAAAGGTCACACACTTTAAAAGCTTCCACCCATGAATCCTTTACACACGCTCTTAATAGTTCCTCAAACTACCAATAACAAAGTAAGCTTGTTGAAATTTTGTGAAACACTTGAAGAGAGTTCCAAAGAGTAAAGTACACATGAACTCACACATACACTGATACGTGCTTACCGCTCTGCTCCAAGATGCTGCTATTTTGGCTTTGAGACATGAAGGACATGATTCTCAAACCTACTCGCACATCAGTCAATCTTGAAAAATCAGCATACTCATAATTCAGAGAACTTTACTAAAAATTTAGATTGTTACAGATGTACAGACATATTACCCAGAGTCAGGATATATTAGACAGGAGAATAGTGCCTGTGTCTGTAGAAAACTGTACTTACATACAAGCTTCAAAAATATCAAATATGCCATAAAACACAAGGCAGACGAGTCCATGAGGTCTGCAATGTTTGAACAAGACTGTACTACAAGGTTATCAGCCTCAGACTGCAAAAGAAGGAAGACTGCTCGCAATTTACCCTCTGCCCAAAAGGTGAAAAAGCCAAAACATCACAGAAATAGAATACACTGAAAGGTCAGGGGGCTTGGGTCAAATAAATACTGTAAATAAGACTAACGCTTTTTTGTTTTGACTGGGGTAAGAAGAATGGACTGCAGTGAAGAAAAAGTTGCTGAGGGCATGCAGAGCTATTATTTCAGTCTTGGTGGGGCCAGCCTTGTTTATTTTCCTTCAGATGTGGAAAAATAAGAAGCTCTATAGAGCTACTTTTTTATTGTATAACCTTGCCAAGCATGTTGCCTTTCACCCCAGTGACATAAGTTAATTCATGTAATACATTAAGTTCCTTTTCATTTGAGGTTGTCAATATAAGAACTCCATTAACGGAGATGTCAGTATAATTAAAAATATTTCTGATTATAGTTTGCTAATATGTGTTAATGCAGTTTATATTGTTATGGTTTGTGTCTGGAAGTGCCCCTCAAACCCTCATGCAGCTATGGGGCGGGCTTCTACAGTTTATGGGTGTGAGTGCTACACTCACCCTGGGGCGAGTAGTTTGCATACGATGTAAGGGAGGGAAAGAGCCTTCCTCTCTGCCACCTCTCCCTTTTTGCTCTTGTGGCCTTTGCTGTCTTCCACTACCGTGAACAGCTGCCCTCTGCCCTCTACTCTTTTAGTTTATGGGTGTGAGTGCCACACTCATTCTGCCTTGGAGCCAGCCGAGTAATGACTGAAACCTCCACAACTGTAAGCTAAGTAAACCTTTCCTTCCTCAATTCTGGCTATCAGGTATATTGTCTCGGCAATGAGAGAAAAGTAACCAAGACACACCTGTAGGGAAAGGGTAGCCCAGATAGCTACAGGAGACAACCCATGGCAATTTCCAGCATGCTTTTCTGCCACTGGCCTCTGTTCCGTTAGTCCCTTTGTTCTCTACAAAAAAAGACATATGATGTCACTCTGACCTTAAAATCACTTTTTGGTGGGGGCGGGAGGCAGGGGGGAACGACCCCAGGGCCTCCATACTAAGCTACATCCCCAGTTCTTTTTTAATTTTGAACAGCATTGCTAGGTCCATCACCTGTCCCTGCTGGGCTCCAATTTGTGGTCCTCCTGCTTTAGAGAGTGCTGGGTTACAGGCATGTGTCACTATGCCTCACTGAAGACCTCCAAAATTTTTTTTTTTTTTTTTTTTTTTTTTGATCTCCAAAATTTTTGAGAAGCAAAGTGTTGGTAGAGCCAAGAGCAGAACAGAAGAGTCTGCAAGTTCTAAAAGCATTCCTGGGTTGTCCCATAGGAATAAAAATCCCAGGGTAAGGCCTTAGATACAAAGGCAAAACTAAATGCCCATTTCTACCATTCCATGTAATTATTTTCCCTGAATCTAACACTGACTCTCTGTACTCCCTGAAAAATCAGTTTGTGAATTCAGGCCAATAGCTTTTACTTACCTACTTAAAAACACAACAAAATAAAAATCAAGCTTATAATTAAAAAAGGATACTTACTTGTAATAAAGATGGCTCTTGCCTTTTTTCTTTTCTTTTTTTAAAGATGGCTCTTTCTTTCTCCACTTTTATGTTTTTTTGTTTTTGTTTTTTTTTCCAGTACCAGGAATCCAACTCACGACCTTGTGCTTGCCAGGCAGGTGCTGTGCCGCTGAGCTAAATCCCCAGCCCCTTCCACTTTTATGTTTTATTCAAACAAAATTATATGGTCGCAGATATAGCTCAGCGGCACAAGTGCCTACCTGGCGAGCACCAAAGTCCTGAGTTCGATACCCGGTACAAAAAAAACAAAACAAAAAAGCACATGTTTTGGGCCAGGGTTATAGTTCAGTGGCATAAGCACTTGCCTGGCAAGCCTGAGGTCATGAGTTTGATTCCTGGTACCAAAAAAAATTATAAAAACTGACTAAAATTCATATCTAGATAATCAGTAATTAATTATTTTATTCTTATATCCACTATTTATAAATATAAATGACAGCACGTTTTTTAGTTGCTTTGGGTAAGGGAGAAGATTAGCTCTTGATAAAATATATGATCACACAAATTTAAGTACTATTTAAGCCTATTACCTATGACAACTCAAACCTAGCAATAGGAGAAATATTATACATACGTGCATAACATGAAGAAAAAAATGCATAAACTGCCTATAACAGGCATAGTATTATAAAAATCACATTTACTTTAAATTATTCTGTGGCTTTTAATATCACAGGACGCTTTTAAAAGTCAAAAGGCCGGGCGTGGTGGTGCACACCTGTAATCCCAGCACTCGGAAGGCTGATATAAGAGGATCATTGTGAGTCTGAGACCAGCCTGGGCTACAAAGTGAGCTCAAGGCCAACCTGAACTGCATAGCGGCACCCTGTCTCAAAAAGCAAAGAAAGATAAAAAGTCAAAAAAATTATCTAAAAATATTCTGAATAGTGTTACATTGTAAATTTTATTTTGAAAGTTTGCTCAAAAAGGAAGAAAATAATAAAGTAGCCAAAGTAGTACCAAAAACAGGATAGTCATTCATATATACATAAGATATGAACAGTATAGGTTCATTTCTAGCAAATTCAATCCTGTTCACATATTTAAAATACAAAGTACATTTCAATCTGTCAAGAAGCTGACCATATTGAACACCAGGAAAAAAACTGTACTTTAGCTTCAGATCATGTCTTCAATATCCTAGAACAGTAAAAGATGGAATCTAGACACTTATCACCATCAATTAACAAAAAATTAACTTTGAAAAGTAATTCCTTATATTACCAATTCATACATGACTTAAAGGATTAAACTCTTAAAGCGGGTACTACTTGATGTTGCGGACCACTCTCCTACAGTGGTTTGTTTTCATCTCCTCCAATGCTTGCTCCAGTTGCTGAACTAAATGAAGCAGGGTGGCTGGGTCTGTCTGCAGAACTTTGGTGCTGTGATCTCCATTGTGGTTGAGGTGCAGCTTGAAAGTCACTGCTGGTTTAATCTGCTGCCGGAGACTTCTGCTTGCAAGCTTGATTTTAAATGGAATAAGAGCACAATAGTTACTTAATAACCATGTGGAATATATAATATTTACAATTACCTTGTAATATACACAAAAATCATATTTAAGATGAATCACAGACTTCAAAATTAAAAGTAAACTTTAAAACCTTTGGAGAAAAAAATGAAAATACACATGAACCTTATGGTACAGAAAGATATATACCTTAAAAACTCTTATACTAGAAACTTATATGCACACACAAAAGGTACAAAGTATGAAGACAAAATTGATAAATCTGTCTTACTTTTCTCATTGCCGAGACAAAATACTTGACACCCAAAGTTAGAGGAGGAAAGTTTATTTTAGCTCATAGTTTGTAGAGGTTTCAGTCCATAGTTGGCTGGCTCCAAGGCAGGGTGAGATAACAGAGGAGCATAGCAGAGGAAAAACAGTCCATGGCTTGGCAGGGTAGGCAAAAGGCAGCAAAGCAAACAGCAAGCAGCTGCAGGCAGCCTTCTTTCTGTCCCTTATATCCTAGCCAGGGTACCTACCCAATAGTACTCCCAGGGCATCACATACCCTAGAACCAACCACCTGCAAAAAACCCCACCTATGACTTCATGAGGCTTTGTGTGTGTCGGGGGGCATCTAGATTCAAACCCTTACACTAATTATGTTAACATTAATAACTTTTCTTCAAAGGATACCTTTGATGGTTATAAAACCTAGCCACAAATTGGGAAAAGATATCTTATAACAGGCATATGACTAAAAAGATTTAGTACTCAAAATGTATGATAAAATCCTCTGACATTGTAAGAAAAAAAACCATACCAAAACTCAAAAGAAAAAGGTACAGATCTAAACTAGTACAGTGGTACCTTAGTTGACAAACAATCTATTCCATAATTCTGGAAAAGATGGCCACATCTTTTGTGTTTGTGCAGAAAGGATGGCCAAGGTTGTGTTTGTTATCTAATGTAAAGTTCCTAAACAAAAACAAATTTTGCCAAATGCTTCTGTTTGTGAATCAAATGGCTTGCAAACAAAAGTGTTCATGAACCAAGGTATCACTGTACTTCACAAAAGACAAGTGGTCAAACACAAAAATATGTTCAAATTTATTATATATATCATAAAAATGGCCAATAAGACCTCATGAAAGATCATTTTATACCTATCAAATATAAATAACAGGTTAATCTTGGGTTATAAATATGAAACAGTACTTATAAGGTTAAGTATCTAAGATCATTTGTATAGTACAACAATTACAGATATGCCAGATATGTAAAACATAATGCCTGAAAAAACTACATATTCATTCAATTATACCTGTTTATTTTTGCTTTTCTTCTATATTTGCATAGTCAGGGACTGAAATTATCTAGATATGTAATTAAAGTATGTTCCTGTTGAAAGACAAAGTCAAACTATCCTTCAATTTTTAGTCAATATGGTAATTAAGAACAATTACAGCTAACTATCTATATCATTCTTTAAAATTTTAGAAATTATAGAACATTCTAGCAAAAATCTAACAGGATAGGATCAGACCTAATTTTCCTAATTAAGAGGCTGAATGACATTCAGTACTATAGGATAAAGAACAGTGCCCACATAGTTCTGGATATGGACTCTGGCAGGGAGGATAACAGGGACTGAACCCAGGTTCTCATGCAGACTAGGCAAATACTCCATCAATGAGCTATATACCCAATCCTTTTAAAATATTATTTTGAGACAAGGTCTTGCTAGGTTGCCCAGGCTGTCTTCAAATTTTTGATCCTCCTGCCTCAGCCTCCTAAGTAGCTGGGATTATAGGTACGTACCACTATAATCTAAAGGATTCATTTTTTAACAGGGAAGAAATTCCACCCTCTTCCCTATAAACATAATAATAACAGCAAAAGCTTTAAAACATGTGTAATGCAAGTTAGGGGAAAGATGTTTAGTCTGAAGGGCTATCGTATCTGGCAAAAATCATCAAGTAAGCCACAGGACACATAAATTATGTTTTATTTAACTAATGTTCTTAAGAATTTTTTATTTTTTATTTTTTTTTGGTACCAGCAATCAAACTCATGACCTCATGCTTGCCAGGCAGGCACTTATGCCACTGAGCTATATTCCCAGCCCTAACTAATGTTCTTAAAAGAATTTAGCCTGCTATTAAGCCTCAGGATGATGTGTGAGCAGGAAAGGAAAACGATGCAGTTGTAAATGGACCAGCTCTAGAGGTAATATTCTTCTGCAACAGCCCCATATGGATTCAGTTTACACATATTATTAATAAGGCATCATGGGGCTGGGGACTTAGCTCAGTGGTACAGTGACTGCCTGGCAAGCATGGGGTCATGAGTTCGATTCCCAGTACCAAAAAACAACAACAACAACAACAAAAATTATATTAATAAAGCATCATGATGCTGTAATGTGCTGATAATCTGTGAAGTCTGGAGAAATAGTCCTACAAGATGAATTACAGTGATTAGTTTGTTTTCCATAAGCAACTGCACAATAATTAGAGTGTCCATTCACTACCAGTCTCCATGAGACAATTCAGTTTTTCAAAAATGAAAGATGGCATATCTTGTTACTATTTTCCTAGCCACTTAGCCGGTATTATATGACATGCCTTCTTCCCATAAATAGAAGAATCCACTCCAGTTAAAATCCCTTGTACTAGTTTCACCTAATGTGCTCAGGAACTCAACTAGCTCTGAGTAGTTTCTTTAGCCTTAAAATGCGCTTCACAGAAAAGTGGCACTAGTCATTCTGTATGACTTAACCTTAAACTATACTTGACATTGTATTAATACAGCAAACTCAATTCACTGGTAAATGAGCTGTTTTGCGTTTAATTTTTTTTTTTTTTTTTTTGGACCAGGAATCAAACTCAGGACCTTGCACTTGCCAGGCAGCTGCTGTGCTGCTGAGCTATATCCTTGGCCCACTGAGTTTAATTTTAGAAAACTTAAGTTTCTTCTTTTTGGTCTCTTTGAGACAGGATCTCACTATGCAGTTCAGGCTGGCCTTGAGCTCACTTTGTAGCCCAGGCTGGTCTCGAACTCGCAACGATCCTCCTGGCTCAGCCTCCCGAATGCTGGGATTACAGGTGTGAGCCACTATGCCCAGCAGAAAACTTAGTTTCTAACTTCTGAAACACTATTGGAGGCTGAGGAGAATCACAAGTTCAAGTCTAGTCTGAGCAACTTAGTGACTCAGAGAGATTGTTTCTTTTTTTTTTTTTTTGGTTTTTCTCCGGTACCAGGAACCGAACTCACGACCTTGCGCTTGCCAGGCAGGCGCTTTTGCCGCTGAGCTAAATCCCCAGCCCCAGAGAGAGATTCTGTTTCAAAAAAAGGGAGACAGGGAGGGGCTGGGATGTAGCTTAGTGTTCAGTCCCCAGCAATCCCCCCAAAAAAACCCCAAACTAAACCAAACTGAACAAAAAAGCTGTAGGTCCTTAAAGTCAGAGGACACCCCTCCACATGAGAGAGATAATGATCTAGAAGGTAAATTATTGCTGAACCACATAAACATGATCATCCCTACATCTCTACCTGCTTATTATGAAAGGACCTAAATGTAAAGGGTTAACCACAGTGATCTCCTTCCCATGACCCACACATGACCTGATGCTCAGGTTGCTCAGAACATCACCTATCTTGTTCTTTGCTGTACTCATAAGACTCAGCACATGACAGATACACATCTATTCTATTGGGCACTGAATGCCTATCACATGCTGGGTACTATTTTGGGGACACAGCATCTGCGTACAGTCTGGTTTATACCATATCTTATGTTCATGCCTATTCAAGTACTTATCAGGTCTGACTGCAATAGGTGATTTTTTTTGTTTGTTTGTTTTCTGGTACTGGGAATCGAACTCATGATCTTGCGCTTGCCAGGCAGGCACTGTGCCACTGAGCTAAATCCCCAGCCCTGGTGATTTTTAATTTAATTTGTTTTTAGCCTCCTTTTATCAGACTGTGATGACTTACAGGCAAGTATGCTGTTTCCCCATTGCTGTGGGTATTAGCTGACTTTCTGTTACTGTGAAAAATGCCTAAGATAGCTAAAAGGAGGAAAGATTTATCTGGCTTGCAGTTTCAGGTCTGAGTCTGTGACTGATTACCCCTGATGCTTTGGGCCAGAGGTAAAGTAGTACATCACTTGGCAGAGCAAAGCTGCTTAACTCACGGCAACTGAGAAGCAAAAGAAAAAGACAGTAAGTGGCTCAGTCCTGTATCTCCTGAGGTGTATGCTGCTATGACCTCACTCTTTTCCACTGCCTCCAAGTTCCATCACCTTCCATGAGTGCTACAGGCTGCTGACTAAGCCCTTAATACACAGGTTTCTGGGGGACATTATTCAAACCAGAGCAGAGTTTTACAAGGTCTGTGATACTCCAAATTCAATAAATAGACAATATGGGTTAATTAATGCATTAATGCATACTGGAGCATAAAAGCGATCTTTTCTATGATGTTTATGTCAGTGGGATAACTTCTCTAAGCCAGTCACCCAATCTCAACTGTAAAATCAGAAGATCTAGTATGAAAGGTGCAGGTTTTTTTGAGACAGGCCAGCAAGCAGTTCAGGCCAGCCTTGAGCTCACTTTGTAGCACAGGCTGGTCTTGAACTTGCAATGATCCTCCTGCCTCAGCCTCCCAAGTGCTGGGATTACAGGTGTATGCCACCACATCCAGCAAGGTACAGCTTTTTCAAACCAAAGTGTAAGTCTTTTATCTTGTTAGTTCTGATACCCTTGATGATCCCATTTTAATATTTCTCTTATTTTTAGTGACACTGTATAATGTTATTCTTTCCTGAAACCACACTTTATTTTATTTATTTATTTATTTATTTATTTTTCCCCCGGTACCGGGAATCAAACTCACGACCTTATGCTTGCCAGGCAGGCGCTGTACCACTGAGCTAAATCCCCAGCCCCTCCGTAGTCACTTTAACTGGAGTATCCAATGAGATTTGGTTCAACCAATCACCAGAGAAAT